GCTAAGTGAAGTAAGCCAAACACAAAAGGACAAGTACTACATGAGTCCGCTACGGTAAGCTCAGAAAAAAGAATTTTTTTTTCTTCAAAAAGTGCATAGGGAAGAAGATGCTGTATACATATGTCCCTGGAGTGAGGTCCAGGTAATATGGCAGGGGCCAGACTAAACCCAGGGATACATATGGGATACATATGATAGCCCATTAAAAGGGAGGAGAGAAGAAGGTATGGGTAGCCAGGGGAAGAGGGCATTAAACCACAGAGGGGTAGGCTGTTTGTGTCTCCACAGGGAAAGAGGGACCAGACTTCAACCCGGAGCTCCAAGACTGGAATGCAACACAGTGACATGAAGCAAGAACTGATGGAGAGGCCTGAGGGGCCGGCCCCATTATCAACTGGGTGCACGGCACCACCCTCCCCCAGTGGGAATTCACTTCAGAGGACAGCACTGAAGCTGCAGTTCAGGAAGAGGTGAAGGGGGACTGGTCTGGTCGGAGCCCATGTGAGCCAATGAGGGGGGAAGGGGAAGAAAAGGAAAGAGTGAAGCACATCCTGGCTCGCTGAGCCCTGGGGACAATGTGCCTGTTTGGAACAGCAATGCACGGAGATGACCACACAGGACACAGCATTCCTTGTTGACCCATCGCACCACTGGGGACAAACGGTGGGAATTGTGCTCGCCATGAGCTCACCACACCAAACGCCAGCCTTGGGGCATGCATCAGAGCAGCGGGGGGAGCAGAGCAGTGAGGTCCTCAGGGATAGAGGCGGTGCTGGGGCATGGCACCCCATCAGACTTGACTGGAAAGCACACGTGAAGGAAAACAAACAGACCCAGAACTATTCATACGGTTATATATGTATGCATGTGTGCGTGTTGTTGTAGCCATTGTTTTACTTTCTGTTGTTGCCTCGTTGCACTCAGTCTGGTGATGTTACATAGCATGTCTACCTGGAAGGGATAGGCGGAATAAACAAGCCAGAAGAGAGAACAACGGGATGACAGATCAGGGGAGCATGGGGGTACAGAAGGGGGGGAGAAAGAAGAGGGCGTTAA